ATTTTTCAATGGAACCGGTGGCTCCGAAGCTGGCAAGTCAAGGTCTGCGGAACGACGGTTGCGAGACGGTCTCGGGTCATTCTCGGGCATGGTCGGAATCGTCCCTCCATTGGGATTAGAGTTTTCACTTGTTTCTTGAAGTGCAGATTTCGTGGCAGGCACAGCGCTTTGTGAACCTGCATGTGCAGATTTCGTAGCAGGCACAACACTTTGTGAACCTCCATGCGCAGATTTCGTGGCAGGTGCAGCACTTTGTGAACCTCCATGTGCAGATTTCGTGGCAGGTGCAGCGCTTTGGGAACCTCCAAGCGCAGATGTCGTGGCAGGCGCAGCACTTTGTGAACCTCCATGCGCAGATTTCGTGGCAGGCGCAATACTTTGTGAACCTCCATGCGCAGATTTCCTGGCAGGCACAGCACTTTGTGAACCTCCATGTGCAGATTTCGTGGCAGGTGCAGCACTTTGTGAACCTCCATGCGCAGATTTCGTGGCAGGTGCAGCACTTTGTGAACCTCCATGCGCAGATTTCGTCGCAGGTGCAGCGCTTTGTGAACCTCCATGTGCAGATTTCGTGGCGGGCACAACACTTTGTGAACCTCCATGCGCAGATTTCGTGGCAGGTGCAGCACTTTGTGAACCTCCATGTGCAGATTTCGTAGCAGGTGCAGCACTTTGTGAACCTCCATGCGCAGATTTCGTTGCAGGCACAGCACTTTGTGAGCCTCGAGGTGCAGATTTCGTGGCAGGCGCAGCGCTTTGTGAACCTCCATGGGCAGATTTCGTGGCAGGCACAGCACCTGGGGAGCTGGAAGCTGAGAACTGGCGACTTTGTAGTACAACTTTAGTACGCGGAGCAATCTGTGAGCTGGAAGCTGAGAACTGGCGACATTGTAGTACAACTTTAGTACGCGGAGTATCTGGCAAGCTGGACGATGAGAACTGGCGACTTTGTAGTACAACTTTAGTACGCGGAGCAATCTGTGCAGCTAGAAGCTGAGAACTGGTGACTTTGTAGTACAACTTGAGTACGCGGAGCAATCTGTGCAGCTAGAAGCTGAGAACTGGCGACTTTGTAGTACAACTTGAGTACGCGGATGAGTCATCTCTCGCTGCTGAGTCATCTCTCGCTGCTGAGTCCTTTCTCACTGCTGAGTCATCTCTCACTGCTGACTCGCTGCTGAGCCATCTCTCGCTGCTGAGTCATCTCTTGCGGCTGGGTCATCTCTCACTGCTGAGTCATCTCTCGCTGGTGAGTCATCTCTCGCTCCTGAGTCATCTCTCGCTGCTGAGTCATCTCTCGCTGCTGAGTCACCTCTCGCTGCTGAGTCATCTCTCACTGCTGAGTCATCTCTCGCTAATGAGTCATCTCTCGCTCCTGAGTCATCTCTCGCTGCTGAGTATCTGGGGAGCTGGAAAATGAGAACTGGCGACTTTGTAGTGCAACTTTAGTACGCGGAGCAATCCGTGGAGCTGGAAGCTGAGAACTGGCGACTTTGTAGTACAACTTTAAAGTACGCGGAGTATTTGGCAAGCTGGACGATGAGAACTGGCGACTTTGTAGTACAACTTTAGTACGCGGAGTATTTGGCAAGCTGGACGATGAGAACTGGCGACTTTGTAGTACAAGTTTAGTACGCGGAGCAATCCGTGGAGCTGGAAGCTGAGAACTGGCGACTTTGTAGTACAACTTTAGTACGCGGAGTATCTGGGGAGCTGGAAGATGAGAACTGGCGACGTTGTAGTACAACTTTAGTGCGCGGAGTATCTGGCAAGCTGGACGATGAGAACTGGCGACTTTGTAGTACAACTTTAGTACACGGAGCAATCTGTGCAGCTAGAAGCTGAGAACTGGTGACTTTGTAGTACAACTTGAGTACGCGGATGAGTCATCTCTCGCTGCTGAGTCATCTCTCGCCGCTGAGTCATCTCTCACTGCTGAGTCATCTCTCACTGCTGAGTCATCTCTGGCTGCTGAGTCATCTCTCGCTGCTGAGTCATCTCTCACGGCTGAGCTGCTGAGTCATCTCTCGCGGCTGAGTCATCTCTCATTGCTGAGTCATCTCTCGCTGCTGAGTCATCTCTCGCCGCTGAGTCATCTCTTGCTGCTGAGTCATCTCTCGCGGCTGGCTCATCGCTCGCGCCTGAGTTATCTCTCGCGGCGTGCAGGTTTGGCACAGTTCATACTGACAGTATTTGGTTGCATTTATGCATGACAGGACATTCAGCTGCTGGTCAATACACCACTCATCATACACTACTCATCATACACCACTCATCATACACCACTCGTCATACACCACTGATCATACACCACTCAACATACACCACTCAGCATGCACCACTCGTCATACACCCCTCATCATACAAAACTCA